ACTAATATACAAATTGAAAAGTGATCGAAAACTAAATTAACCACTAACAGAAAAATTTATTAAACTTACTAAAAAAAAAATTGTAATTTATTTATTTTAGTCTGACTAAAATGTTATTTGTCAAATTTTTAAAAAGCTGCGTCTGACTGTTCTGACCTTTACTACTGATACAGAAGTTATAAATATTTTAAAGCATTGTCTAGCTAAATACTGACTTTTACTACCGACAGGAAAAGTTAATTAAAATATCTATATACATTTGTCTGACTATTAAACAACTTTTACTACTGATATAAAAATTACAATAGTAGATTTAAAAATTAAATTTTAAAAAAATTCTTGTATTTAATATTGAATCTTTCAGACAATTTGATATAAATAAAAAAGTTGAATTGGAATTCTATTTTTATATAACTTTAAAATAAACATAAGGAGACAGCTTAAAAATAAATTTGTTAATATTTTATTTAGTAAAAAAGATATTTTTATTTTATTTATAATATAATTTTAAGTGAATCTTTTCTTCTTTATTTAAAAATAGTATTCTTTTATTATATATATATATATATATATATATATATATATATATATTGGAAAACTACGTTACAGATTTTACTCGTAAATTTAATTTTATAATTTAACAGTCTTTATTATCTTAATTACGAAAAATATTAAATTACCAATATTTCTGAATTTCAGAATAATCTTTTTTTTTTAATTTTTTTTAACTATATCAATTTTCTATTTCTAGATGACACACCTGAAGGTAATTTCATTATTATACGATTTTTATCTCGATCTGATAATTTAATTCAATATCACAAATTTCAATAATAATTGAAAAAATAAATTAATTATATTATTGAAAATTCGTTTTTGTCCGTTTATTATAAAATCTAATGATTTTAGTTAAAAAATTTCAAATTTGAAACTTATTTTTTAAAAAACTTAAAATTAAAATGTTTTATTATTATTATTATTATTATTAGAAAAAATAACTGTTTTAGGCATTTAGATAAAAATATGATTTTATGATTTATTTATAATCAAAATATTGAGCAATATTTGATAAATTATTGAATTTGTCTCTTTATAATTTTGGAGTGAAATTCATTTAATAGTATACAAATCTGAAGAAGATAATATTATCATTTAATAAATAGACCATATGTAAAGTGCACATGACGGGAATAAAATTACGTCGAGTTTCAAAGTAGCATTATAAATTACATTCATAATAGCTGGACCACTGCACTGTAATGATATTACTCTGCCGACCAGCGTGAAATTCGTTAATTCCTGTTTGAGGTGAAGTTGTAATAGAACAAACTGATGTTAGTATTCGAAACATTAAACATCCTTTACATTCAAAACTCTCTCTCTCTCTCTCTCTCTAAAATCAACCTTTTGCCTCCTCTCGTGCCTTTGGCTGTTTAACTTTGAATTTAAACGCAGTTTCTATTTCATGTACAGTGAAACCATGCTCACGTACTAAAATATCATAATTGTCCATGCAAATAATATTAAAATGTTTATATGAGAAAAAAATAATTGCAAATAATGATGAAAATATATTTTTCTCGAATTATCATCAGTAATTTTTAATAATAAATTTCTAATTTTTTTCTTATAATTTTATAAGTGTAGGTAAATGTAAATATTTAGTCAGACTTAAAATTTTTTGTTATTTTATTAATAGAGAAAATTTTTTGTCAGTCAGACATAATTAAAAAATATTTTAAAAATCAGTAGTGCAAGTAACTGAATAGTCAGACTTTTTTAATTTTTGTTATTTTATCAGTAGTAAAAATCTATATTTAGTCAGACCTTCTGAAAAATTGTATTTTGTCAGCAGTACAAGTCAATATTTAGTCAGACTTTCTAAATATTTTTAATTTTATTAAAATTAGATATTGATTTAGTACTGAAACTAAATATTTAGTTTTCTAAACGTTTTTAAATTTTTTAGTAGTACAAGTCAATATTTAGTCAGGCCTCCCAAAAAATTGTATTTTGTCAATAGTACAAGTCAATATTTATTCCGAATTTTATAATTTTTTCTATTTCTATAATTCAGTGGTAAAAATAAAATTTTAGTCCGGCTTTTTTCAAATTTATGCAATTTTATTAGTAGATCAAATCAGTTTAAGTCAGACAAATTTATTGTATAAAAATATTAATAGGTACAAGTCAACATTTAATTCTAAACACTGTTTCTTTTTAAATTAGTTATGTAATTTTTATTAGCAGATAAATAAAATTCTAATTAGAAAATTAGTAGTAACAGTAAATATTTAGTCATACTTTCTGTTAATATTTTTTATTTTATTAGTAGTACAAGTAAATATTTAGTCAGACTTTAAATTTTTTGTTATTTTATTAATAGAGAAAATTTGTTTCAGTCAGACATAATTGAAAAATATTTTAAAAATCAGTGGTACAAGTAACTGAATAGTGAGACTTTCTTAATTTTTGTTATTTTATCAGTAGTAAAAATCTATATTTAGTCAGACCTCCTGAAAAATTGTATTTTGTCAATAGTACAAGTCAATATTTAATCAGACTTTTGAAATCTCTTCTTTTAAAATTTAAATAGTACAAGTATATATTTTGTCAGACTTTCTAAGCATTTATAATTTTATTAAAATTAGATATTGATTTTGTACTGAAACTAAATATTTAGTTTTCTAAATGTTTTTACATTTTTTTAGTAGTACAAGTCAATATTTAGTCAGACTTTAAAATTTAGTGATTTTATTAGTAGATAAATTTGGTTTCAAGCAGACATAATTACTAAATTAAAAAATCCGTAGTACAAATAATTCAATCAGACTTTTAAAATTTTTACCATTTTTTTTAGTAGTAAAAATCAATATTTAGTCTAGCATTCTAAAAGTTTGTATTTTGTCAATAGTACAAGTCAATTTTTAGTCAGAAATTCTTTTTTTCATTTTATCAGTAGTACAAGTAAATATTTAGTCAGACTTTTTAATTTTTTGGTAACTTTATCAGTAGTATAAATCAATATTCAGTAAGACTGTTTAATTTATTTGCTTTTATAAGTAGTATAAGTAAATATTTAATCAGACTCTTTAAATTTTTGTTATTTTTATTAGTAGTACAAGTAAATATTTAGTAAGAATTTTATAATTTTTTCCATTTCTATAAATGCAGTGGTAAAAATAAAATTTTAGTCAATCTTTTTTAATTTTTGCAATTTTATTAGTAGATCAAATCAGTTTAAGTCAGACAAATTTATTGTATAAAAATATTAATATGTACAAGTCAATATTTAATCCTAAACACTTTTTCTTTTTAAATTAGTTATGTAATTTTTATTAGTAGCTAAATAGAATTCTAATTAGAAAATCAGTAGTAAAAGTAAATATTTAGTCATACTTTCTGTTAATATTTTTTATTTTATCAGTAGTACAAATAAATATTAAGTCAGGCATTTCTTTTTATTTAAAACTAAAAATTTATCAATTCTAATTTCGAATCATATATGAATATTTCTATATAACGTATACATATAATAATTCCTATATATATATATATATATATATATATATATATATATATATTGTGGGAGAATCTTCATATATGTTTTGCTTTATGTATACACGGTATATATACATGAAATTTAATTACAATTTGTAACAAACTATTATTATTCTATATATATGTATATATAAACTAAAAGTTTCTTTTAACAAAGTCATATGTAAATTGGAGGTAGTCCAAGGTATTTCGCTGCTATTGGCAGACGTATGGAGTGGTTCAATGTTATCTCGTTAAGGTGCTCTAATTGCCCCAACGGCGGTGGAAATCGCGGTATGAGGTTATTAAAGGAGTAATTTCGCAGAGGGAATGAAATAACAGGGTAAACTGTTAAAATAAAACGCGAACGAAGCTTTACAAAATGAACGGTAATTCTAAGATTTCTTATTAGCTATTAAAGAATTTTTTTTCTCTCAACCCAAATTTTCCCCACTATTTTTGAATTTAAAAAGAAAATATTATTTTTTCAAATTATTTTCCACTAAAAATCATTATTATTATTATTATTATTATTATTATTATTATTATTATTATTATTATTATTATAATTATTATTAATATTATTATTTTTATTTTTAAGATTATTATTAGAAGAAGATAAAATCGAAAGAAAGTTGTTATTTATTGTTTAAATTAAGGACAATAGAAATGTGATTAAAATAAAGTTTCAAAAACCTTAATCGTCTTGAGATATTTAAATTTCGCGGTGCAATTACTTTGGCTAAGAGAGTTTTCCATATAGAATTCAGCGTTAGTAAGATTTATCCATTTGAGTTGAAACAAGTTTTACTCTCAATGTTTCCTTTCACTATTTCTTCTCTCTTTTCGTTTTTTTTTTCTTCTTTTTTCTTCTATCTTTCTCTCTCTCTCTCTCTCTCTCTCTCTCTCTCTCTCTCTCTCTTTCTTATATACCACACCTTTATAGCTGCAGCAGGGGGGCAATGAGAGTGCCAAAAGTTGAAAGAAAATTGGTTTTCACGATGCTGAAAACTAAAGAGTTGAATGAGACAGAAAATAATCAAAGTTTTAAGTGTTTGTTTGAGGGGAAAAAAAAATTCTCCTGTATGCAAACAGAAATTTTTCATACTAATGGTTTTTTTCATTTTTTTTTTTTTTTTTTTTGTTTTTTAAAGATGCACACGCCTTATTATTCGCAAGATTTGAACTTAAAAATATTGTCTTTGTACCTTATATTATCTACTTGAATGAATATTCATTTATATACATTTAATTATTTGTTTATTTATTCCTTTATTTTTATAAATATTTAATAATTTTCAATTTGTTAAGAAACATAATTATTTTAATGATTATTAAATTATTCTTTTTATATAAACAATAAAATGAAAAAAAAGTGTACATTCTGTCTGACTAAAATGTATTTTTTCTACTTGCGTTTATAATTCTTGTATTTATATTTATATTTTTTTTTTTTACAGATTCTTTCAACGAGTATTTTGTTCTTCTATACTAAGGAGTCAAAATAGGTGAGTCAAAATAAATTTTAGATAGATTAGGAATTTAATTAATGATTATGAATTTATTTTAATTATTTATTTTTTATTTATTTAATATTTGTAATTTTTTATTTATTTCATGGAAAACAAAGCTTATAATTGTATACAGTTAATTAAAATTGCTAATATGGTTTTATATTTTAAAATTAAATTCACGTACATATAGTTATCAATTTTTAGTATTATTTTAATATCAAATTAAACAATTAATTAATGATATAAGCTCTATGGTTTCTAATATTTTAGAATTTAATTTCTCTTTAATATACTTTTAATTAATTTAAATTTATTATAAATAATTCAATATTCAAAAAAATGTATTATTATTTATTATTAATTTTTTCTTTTTAATTTTTTTTTTTTTTTAATAAGACGCAAATTAAAATAATATTTTCGTTCTCAATTCGTAAGATTTATATATTTTTAGCTTTTTTGAATCAAATTTAGTTTAATTATCAAACAGAAAATGAAATAAATTATTTATAATATATACAATCTAAAAAAAAAAGTTGTCAATAATTGTCCTACATAATTGACACAATATTCTATATATTCTGTGGCTTTAAGTGAGGCAAAATTTAATTTTCCAAATTGTTCCACTAAAATAATACTTAATTGTGATAAATAATAAATCTTAAATTTGATATTCTGAATTTATTGACAGAATTATTTTCGACATTTATGCAAAAATAAATCAAATTATATATAGGTTTGATTGTTAGTTGTCAGTCGCGAAATTTTTTTTTAACTAAAAATTCAAAGTATAAATGCAGATGATTTTAGTTAAACAATTTATAGTGTAAAATATTAAAAATAATCGAAATAGTTTAAAAAAAGCACAATAGCAAAAAATACAAAAATAATCATACAATTATTTAAAAAAAAAAAAAAGAAGAACAATTAATGTAAAAAAAAAATTAATGCTAAAAAATTGAAATTACAACAAAATTAAATTAATTGTTGCATTCATATTTTATAGAGACTAATAACAATAAGCGTTTCCAGCATCAGAGTAAAATCTATTGTTATATATGGTATATATATATATAAGGATTTCCACACGTGATAAACGAAAAGCGACATTTTCTGGCTGCGGTTTTAGCAAGCCGTCGACAGTGAGCGAGATTATCAGTGACAATGTTGGTAACTGCCGAAGAAGAGTAGAAAATGCAAACCGGATAGTGAATGACAAAAAAAAAAAAAAAAAAAGTTAGAAACCCACAACAGTCGACAAAAAAATAGCTGGAGTGCTATAAGAGAGGAATATGTGTACAGTACAAGAAAGAAGTGGGAGAGCAGATGCAGCAAAAAAAAAGATAAAAAAAAATTAAAAAATGAGAATGAACCAACGGAAACCAACCACGAATTTGGAAACGAATACCACAATGAATACTGTATATATATATATATATATATATATATATATATTTTATATGTATGTATCGCATATACTGTTTCTCTCTCTCTCTCTCTCTTTCCATCTCTCTCGTACACAAGTTAAGCGATATCGATTTGGTACGCGCACCACAGCGGTTACGTTCACTTGAACAAGCTACAACAAGTAACAATTAACATCGCATTGCACGTGCCCAAAATCACGAGTAGGTATTTGAGATTTTAGTCACAGTATTTTCTTTTGCCATTGCCTTATTCGCGTACGAGATCCCCTCATTATCGTTCGCATTGCAGTTGGGTGTCGATAATTGTTTCAGTAATTAACAAAACAAATTGCATTGCGCCACATCAAGTTTACACACTGACACCAGTACATATCATTAAAATCCCACCCCATCCCACCCCCCAGGCCCTCTTCACAATACTATTGACAAATGAATTTAATCTATTTTACATTTATATTGTTACAAATTCCCTTCGTTTATAACTTTGTTTTTTCAAACAATTAAAATTAACAAATTTTGTTTCAACCAATTTTGCAAAAAAAAAAAATTGAAATTTTTTTTTTGTTAATAACACTCACATAATTAATAAATAATAGTAAATTATAAATAACAATAAATAAATGTAACAAATTATAAAAATAAATAAATAATAGTAATAAATAATGATATTATCCCAGGTGAAAAAATTAACGTTACTAACGTTACTAACGTTACTTATGTTACTAACATTACTAATGTTACTAACGTTAGTACCTATAAATAAATTAAGAGTTTCTAAAATATATTTTCACAGAAACTTTGCCACTACTTTCCCATTTCCACTTTCACTTCCACTTAAACTTTTTATAATTTTCATTCCCATTTCCACTTCCACTTTTTCTAATTTTCAATCCCATTCCTATTTCCACTTCCAGTTTTTTATATTCATTGCCACTACCACTTTTTCTAATTCTCATTCACACTTTCACTTCCACTTGTTCCAATTTTCATTTCCATTTCATCTTCCACTTTTTTATTTTCATTACAACTTTTTTATATTTTCACTCCCATTTCCATTCCTAATTTTTTAAATTTTCATTATCACTTTCAATTTTTCTAATTTCCATCTATGGTAATTAAAAAAAGTCAAAATGGCAACAGCTAATGAAAATTAGAAGTGGAAAAAATGGGAGTAGAAGTGGGAATGAAAATTAGAAAAAGGGAAGTGGGAATAAAAATTAGAAAAAGTGAAAGTGGTAATGAAAATAAAAAAGTGAAAGTGGAAGTGAAAGTGGAAATGAGAATTAGAAAGAGTGGAAGTGGGCATGGAAGTGCGAATGAGAATTAGAAAAAGTGAAAGTGGAAACGGTAATGAAAATAAAGAAGTGGAAGTGATAATAGAAATGAAAATTATAAAAAGTGCGAGAAAGAACATTAAATACTTCCTGGTGGTCGATTTTCGACAAGTTTCTGCAAAAATACAATTTAGAAACATTTTCTTAATTTTTTATAGGTACTAACGTTAGTAACGTTAGTAATATTAGTAACGTTAGTAATGTTAGTAACGGTAGTAATTTTAATTTTTCTACCTGGGTAATAATTTAGTTAATATTATTTTATGATTAGAGTAATTTAAAAGCTGTCTGACTAAAATTGTTTTTTACTACTACAAAACATTTTGTTTTATTGAATCTTGTATTATTGATATCTGAAAATAAATCCTAGCATGAACACGGTGCGCCAGAATGTGATTTAAATAAAAATGAATTGGCACTTAAAAATTCTTTTTTATAACACCTTGCGTCAAAAATTCAACTAAATCGCTGTTTTTTACGCACTAGTGCTAAAAAGGAGGGGAAATCCATAATTTTATAATGATTCTCAGATGAATTTATTTAATCTAATAAATACTGTAATAATTGATAAAATAATTACTTATTTTCAATTTTACATATAAATAATTATATTGCTGTAGTGTTTGTGTCCAATTTTAAAAAATTAAATTATAATGTTAAAAGAACGATTTTAAGAGTGACAAAATTTATTTAAAAGAGTCGAATGGTCTCTGAAATTTTTTTGGCAAGAAGAGATCTTTAATTTATCGCTCTATAAAAACGGCACTAAACGTGAAAATGATAAACATTGATTTTAAAATACTTTCTTCTCGAAAGACGGACACTTTTTACAAAAGCAGCTAGAGATCTTTATCTTATATAAATTTCCTAAATACTAAAGATTATACGAATCCATACAAAAACACGATTGCAAAACGAAAAGTAATATAATGAGGGGTTCATTACCTTCTGCCGCCGTCAGATGGCAGCAGAATGCAGGTCGCACAAAGTCGCAGCTGTTATTAGATTACTTTTCTACTTTTTGTTTTGCAGGATTTTGGCTGATTTTGTTAAAAGTGTTCGTGTTTTTAAAAAAAATTATTTTAAAATCAATACTATTTCACGTTCAGAGCGATAATTAAAGCTCTCTTCTTGCCAAAGAATTTTAGATACCGTTCGACACTCTTAATGCATAAATATAAAAACGAAACAAGAAAATAACTTCATTGTTAATAAATTTATATGAACCCAAATCTAAAACATCTATTATCTATACGCATATGAGTATACATTAAATAAATTTTGGTTCCTCATAAAACACTATTTTTAAATATTTAAAACTCAATTTGTTTTAAAGTGGGCACGTAAGCTGATTTTAAAACCTATTGAGAAAAGTTTTTTTATTCATCTTAGAACCACAATCAAAAAAAAATTTTAAGTGCCAATTTATTTTTATTTAAACTTCCTTCTGGCGCACCGTGTAAACCCTAATAATAATTTTTAAGAAAAAATTTTCAAAAAAAATTTTCTTTTTAACAATTTGTTATAAACAAATAGTCAAATTTGAAGAAAAAAAAACTAGTAACGTCATTCGATTCTACGTGAAGAATTAGGTAACATGTATTACTTGAATTATTTTTATATAAATTGTAAAAATAAATAATAAATTTTTATAAAATTGTTATTAAACAATTAGATTGATCTTATTCAATTTCCAGCCTATGGTAGCAGATATCAAAAAACAATAAAAATTCTATAATAATTTTTGACATTAATAATTTTATGAAAAAAAAATTGTTTAAACAATTTGTTATAAATAAATAAACAAATTGTTAATTTTTTAAAAAACTAATTCGATTTTACGTGAAAAATTACTACGAGAACAATTATTTTTATAAAGTTAAATTGTTGTAAAAATGTTATAAATAAATTAAAATAAACTTATTGTTGTCTATTTGTTTATAACAAATTATTTAAAAAAAAGTCATTTTTTAACGTCAAAAATTATTATTAGGGAATCAAATAGTTCTTTTTTCGATATCTGCTTTGTTGCCATAAGCTGTAAAGAAAATAAAATTCTAATTTATTGTTTATAATATTTTTACAACAATTTATTTATTTTTACAACTTTATAAGAAAAAATTCAAGTAATACATGTTTTCTTTAGTAATTTTTCACGTACAATCGAATGGAGTTATCAGTTTTATTTTAATTGTTAATTTAATTAATTACTTTAACAAATTGTTTAAAAAAAAAA